GCTTTAGGTCGTACGTTCTAATCTCAGGTGAGACACTCTTATTCCCATCGTCGTAATTCTTCTCAAGAATGCCAAACTTGAGATTCGGACAATCTACACAATTTTAAGAATGTAACCTGAAATGTTGAGCCAATTAAATTCAAAATTTTGGATCCACATCTGGACACGAACGTACTAATAAGTTTAGAATCAATAAAGGGATCAACAAACTAACATGCGTTTTACTTCAACAACTATAGGAGAGAAAAAACTCAGGGGAGGGAAAGGTATAAACTACGTACCACGATATATTTCTTCATGTTATCCAAATCTGCCATGTAGGATGACTTCAACTTGTATTTCATCATAAATATAAGCCAGAACGTTGCCACGAGAGTGACAAGGTCTAGTATAGTATGAATATCTCCTTCGATTTGAAGACTACAAAATAATCTTGCAAATAAAAACGTTGCTGTGAGCTGTTGAGTCTTCAATGAAAGGCCTAAGTACAGCAGCAGCAAAAAGTTGTTAGAAGATTGTTGAAAGTGAAAGTTGAATACTCAGCTTTATTTAACAGCATTAATTGGTCGCCTAGAACAAATAGTAAATAACTTGCTATCACAAATTAAATTACACAAAAGATATATAAAAAAGACCATTATACTGTCATGTAGGATTAAGAGTTTGGGGTTCTAAATATTCTGTTTTTAAAAAAAGAAACTTCTTGTTGAAAGTGGGGTTTGAACCCACAACTCTAGCTTGACAACCCCTTCCTTGCCACTTATGCGCAATCAATTTTGTTAGGAATTCACAAGTTAATATATATATTTATTTAATTTTCTAATACAATTACAAAGTCTATGAAAAAGTTACTAGATTTGTCTGAACCCACGAAGCCCTACCTAGCTCCCCCTACTAGAGTATCATTTTCCCCAAGTAAAACACTTTTGTGAATATTAGAACAGGTGTTTGGCCAAAGTTTCTGGAGAACAAAAATACTTCTCTCAGTTTCTAATTTCTGTTACAACTCAAAAGCACTTTTCACTTTTTCCTAAAAGTCTGGCCAAATACCTCAGATTTTTAACTCATAAATTGATTTGCAGAAAAGTTAAACAAATATTTATATGTAAAATTAGTACCTGAGCAAGTCTTGTGTGTTGTCAATTTGTAAATAAGGACCAAAATTCCAACGAAATGTGCAAATTCAGCCAAAACGAAGAAGTGATTGTGTTCGTGAACAAGGAGTTTTAGAGTTACTAGTAAAGTAAGAACAGTGAAAACACCCAAAAATGTCTTCACTTTGTTTGATTGTTTTCTAACCCATGAAAATAGCTTCTGCAATGGCCTTTGAACTCCTTTCTGACCCATCTTCTTTACCCCTTTCTCTTTCTCTTTCTCTTTCTCTCTCTCTACTTCTTCTGAAAAACTCAATAAATGCATGTATAAAGTGGGGTTTGGTACTATCTAGAAAGAGAGAGAGACAGAGAGCACGTTTTCCATGTTTAAATTCATCCTTGTTTGTTCAAAATTGTTTGTCAGATCAGATAGAATTATGGGGATATTAATAAGTTATTGATTAGTTATGAGTAAATTTATGTATACTTTTGTTATCTTACCGATTAGTTATGAGTAAATTTATGTACTTTTCTATCTCATAGTAGATGCACATTTTACTAAAAATATTTATCTCATATTATTACTTCGTCACTTACACTTTGTTTAAATGGTTGTTAAGTATTTTTTAATAATGTATTGTATCGTACGATATTGTTTAATAAATACAGTGTTTGAATAGGTTGTAATTTGTTATGTTCTTTGTCATTACCTAATATCACATATTTATAATTTGAATGATAAACCTAAAAAAAGTAAGGTACATGTAGAGCTAGTATGAAAATGTATAGCAAAAGATGAAATATATTTATTAAGTAATAAATAAAGACAAAATGATAGGAAAATATTTAGGTAACATGCAATCACACAAAATTGATTATTACATAAAATGAGTCTTTTCGTATACGATACAATAGAATTTAAGTAACAATTAAAACAAGCACGGTATTTAAACTAACAATACAAAACAATACAATACAATACAACGGGTAACAACCATCCAAACAAAGTGTTACTAAATCAGAATAGAATTAATTAACTATTTCTAGTTTGTACCCTGCAATTATTATGACTTTGGAAGTTTAAACAAATTTTGAAGATCCAATTTTTTTATGAGTCTAATTAATTTAAGCAAAGGGAAAAATAGTAAATATGATCAATCTATTTATAATTTCTTAATTACGGTGTAAAATAAAAAGTATCCACCTAACATGAAATAGGAGAGTATTATTTTATGTGAATTTTTATATTGTCAATCAAATATCATATAATTTTATAAATTAATAATTTAATTCTTGTCTATCTACCAAAAACATAATATAAATTACATCAAAAATAATATATGAATAACATGTTGTTGCTATCAAATAATCCTTTAGAGGTCGTTTTTGAGGTCATTTTATAGCTTGTTAGAGGAAATTTTTACATATAACATGTTGCTGCTTTAGAGGTCGTTTTTGAGATCATTTTATAGCTTGTTAGAGGAAATTTTTATGCATAAGTTAGAGTTATAATATTTGATTTTAAAAACCAATATTCTTACAAATTATATAACTTTCATGTGTATTTGAAAAAATATATATCATTTTTGAGATTCTCATAACATATCTAAAAAAAAATCGACTTCAATCTAATTATGTCCAAAAATACCCTATATCTTAAATTCATTTTATTACGAGTGTACGTGTGAATTTATTAATTTTTACTACTAACAAATATTATGTTTTGATGATATTGTAATTGCAAAAATAAAAATAAATTCAGTAGTGAAAATATAAAAACTAAATTTAAAATCCTTAATCATTACATTTTATTTTACATTGAATAAAGATGGGAGTTGATAGTAGTAGGGATGCAGGTTGACGTAGCAACACCAAAGAGGAAGAGAGTCGTTGGTCCTTCAACAACTGGTAGATTGTTTAATAAGCTGAATAAATTATCGTGAGATTATAATTTTTAAATAATTTATTTTATTTGAGTTATTGAGATAAAATAAACTCAAATTAAAATGAATATTTCAAAATTAAGTTTGTGATAAGATGTATACTACAAATGGTATCAAGAAAAAATTGATCAAATATGAATCATTTACAAAACCAAACAAATATCTTTTAATTATTGATTAAATACAAGCTACTATTTTTTTAAAAAAATAATCTCTAAAAAGTAAATTTTGACAAAAGCTAATTTCAAAATAACCATATTTTAAAGTTTTTTTGTCTAACATATCTATTTGTGAGAAAGGGATGCTTAACTAATGGATAGATACATTGTGGAATTGATGAAAGTTTTTTTTTTTAATTTGATGTTTGGTATTCGTGTAAAATTCAATTGAATTTAAATTTACATATCACAAACTATTCTTTTTAACACATTATTAACAAAAAAGATTCATTTCTAAAAATTCAAACTCGAGATAACAAGGAAATTAGAATATAAGAATTGTTTATTTATAGCCCTCGTGCAACACGAGAACACCTCTTCTTTTAGGGCAAGTCAATTGCTAAGGGATTTTAGTATTTATTTATTTTTATAAAACGAATATCAAAATATATTTTTTTGAAGAAGAAATAGGATCTGGTTGGTTTTATTTTAAAGGGAGTATTTAAATGCGATATGAATCTTCACATAATCCAAAATATTCTTTTGCATTTAAGTTGACAAAGTAAATACTCCCTCCGTTCCTTTTTATATGTCACATTTTTAGATTGTACTTGTATTAAGAAATTAAGTAACTTTACCTTTCTATCATTATTTAATATTTTCTTAAGTCAACTTTTCAATAAATGATGAATATGCTAGATTTCAAAAATTAAAATGCATTTGGATGACTATTTAAAAAAATTTGAGTTTATTTTCAAAATCATATTTTATAGAATAGAGAATGGAGAGAGTAATTAATCAATGTATGAAGTACTCCAATGAATATTAATTACTTATTAGTTTTCCTAGGTTGATCAAATTACTTATTTTCAAGACTAATTAACTACTCTATCAAGGGTATAATAGGAAGAATATGATAATTTATGTATTGATTTTATGAAATAATAAGTATTATGATCCAACTATTCTTAAGAAATAAATTATTAAAATTATCCTTCGTATTTATGATTTCTTGAGAGAGATGTAAAAAGAAGTGGTCAATTAATATAGAACGAATGGAATAATATTCCTCTGTATCAATAGGTGAACTTGGAGAGCTCAACACGCCAAACAAGCTTCGTAGATTGTAGGAGTAAGATTTGCACACACCAACCCATTTCAGACCCCATTTGTATGATCTCACCGGATACGTTGTAGAACTTGGAGAGCTCAACATGCCTACCCCAAATAGGTAGAAGTAAAATTTGTGTACACTCACTCTCCCACGACTCCACTTAAGGAATCTCACCGAGTATGTTGTTGTTGAACTTATAGAGCCCAACTAAGTAACACTCTTATAAAAAAGTCTTGAGAGTTTCCTTGTCTTGTGAACTTTTCTGGGCTCTGAACCATATTTCGACTTTGTGATAAATCCGATAACGATAGAAAATAAACAGGCACTCGAAAACAGGTACATGTTCGAGAATTATTAAACAACACTTAGTGGTTAGAGATAAAAACCAACAACAATAACACACTTCAGATTTTTCATAATGCTTTTTCATGCTAAGTACAATGCTCAATATTCTTCATTTTGTTTTCTGAATCTCGCAACAGGGGTTTATAAGCTACAGAAATTAGGCATTTCGTCGTACAATTCTTCAGATGAGCTACAAACATCTTCACCTACAGCCTACAATGGCGATTGCCCGACCATCTCTTCATATAACTTCTCAAACTAAATGCTCATTCATTGCCGGACCAACAAACAGTAATGTAGATTTTGAACTACTTCAAGCAACACAGATGATGGCAAGGCAGAAATACATAAGACGTCTGCTAATCATAGCTTTGACGTCTGAGATCCAGGGGGCAAGAATGAGTCCCACCACCCGGATTCATACTTTGGGTATGGTGCTGTCCATTTTTCCGGTTTTTCAAATTCAATACTAACAGGAGTACATGCCAAAGCTTCTTCTACACTGTCAGCCTCGTAGCTCTCTTGTAAAACCCTGTCTAGCCTCAATTTCATGAACCTGCAAGATTCAAAAAGTAGATCAGGAGAAATATAGAAAATGTGCAACTTCACCCTTTTGTGATACGAAATATCTTAAATTTACCATCCGTTATACTTTGGGGTCATTCATACCCTTGCTTCTAGCAAATCTTCTCGTAATTGCCCTTGTCTTTGCGGTGGACGGGGTGATTCCACATATCAAAAATACATTGGGGAGAAGACCCAATTTTACCCCTCTAGTTTTTTATGGTTTAAATTTACTCACCGTTATACTTCAGGTTGGAGTTTCATCAGGGCCAAGGGCAAGGGCAAGTACGAGATGATTTGATGACATTGAAGATACAAATGACTCTAAACTATACCAAATGGTAAAATTAAGATAACTCGTATAGTATAGGGGTATATTTGACCATTTTCCCGTGATTATAACTTGCTTATTAAAGACTGCAATCTTTTGATGATGCATAGGAGTAATTAGTGTCTCGATTATTTAACAATGACAGCCCCTTACGTGATCCATGGGCCATTCGTTGAAACAAGTGCTACAGCGGGTCTCTTCAGTCTCTTGGTGATATTAGGGAACTTGTCCAAGAACTTTGGCTCAACTACAAGCCAGAAATCTGGTTCCATGCTGCGCTCTTCATAGAGGCGACGACGTTCAAACATTTGCTCCTGGAAATGCTCCTCTTCGTCCAGCATAAATTTGGCATTTGCAACAAGAAAATGGTACTTCTTCCTTTCTGTCTCTTGCTGTATATGCAACAGAAGATCCGCATCAACATTCCTAACATTGAACTAAAGCAAAATGGCGCCAAATAGGGAGTTACCGAAAAATTGTCTTTTTCCATTTCAATGAAATGACCTGTCACAGACGACCAACATATACATTCATAGGCGAGTGAGAGTAGGACTAATAGAAGAACATGAACTACCCACCCTGATCCTCTAACAGATGGTTATTGTAACTTCAGAATGTTCATCAAAATCGTCACTCCGACCACCTCATGGCACTAATATCCATATTGCTAAACAAAAAATAAACTCAGTTTTGATCAGAGAAGAACTAGTGCAATTACTCAATCGACACTACAGTAGAACTCAGTAGTTTTAGTTTAAACCTAGTATTCTTAAGAGATACATCTAAGATGTTCAAATTATTACACCCTCTGTCCCCAAATTCTTGTTATGTTTTGCTTTTCGAGAGTCGAACTGCATGAACTTTGACCAATATTTTAAGATGTATTTATTCACCATATTGATATAAGAAAGAATTGCAATGTATAGTACGTTTCATATAGTTTTTGAACATCTAATTTTAAAAATATTAAACTGATCGACTTCAATTTAGTTCCGAAGATTAGTCAAATTGATTGTCGAGAAGTGAAACATGATAAGTGTTTTGGGATGGAGGGAGTAATTTAGAACCTAGTAACTCAAAAAGTCGAAAATTCCGAACCCAACATAAAAAATTGGCTGTCACCAGTGCCTATATGGATCCTTCGCCTACCAACATGTTTTTTCTTAGCTTGCATTGGTTCCAAGAGAGTTTTGGCCATTCGGGACAAATAAAGCACAATCAAGAGTTTCACATTCAAGTTTACACAAAGCATGTAAATTGAGAGAGTAAACAAAGACTATAACTTTAACGTGAAACATAAATTTATGCATAAAAGTTCACTAAAATTGCAACAAATAGTAGATACAAACCCACAACTTTAAGGCGACATACATAAACAAACACTTAAACTTGACATAGCTGACAACTAAACCAACTTTGAGTACACATATCTAGACACCTCAACTAGTCAACGTCAATTGAACACTCCAACTTACGAAATGATCATCTAATACACTTCCAAAATTTAAGTATCACATCATCATTGGATGTCTACAAAACACAATGGGGACAAGTTGGAGTGTTTAGTTACCGATTGAAACCAAGTTAAGACGTCTAGATGTGCCCCGTCAAAGTTGGAGTGGTTAAATACCAGCTAAGACCTAGTTTGAGTATTTGTTTATGTATTATGTCTAATTTTAAATTTTGTTGTAGGATTAACACCGAAAACCTTAAAATTGAATCCATAAAGCTTAAATACTAAATCCACCTACTACACTATCAGAGAAATTGCAGACATGAATAGCAGGCAAAATTAAACTTTCCACATACATATTTAAACATTTTACTCCCTCCCCCTCTATCCCATATCCCAATTTATTTGACACTTTTCGTTTTTCGAAAGTCAAATACTTGTAAGCTATGTAAAGTCACAATAATTAAATGAAAAATTAACCGTAAAAAATGATAGACTTGATTAAATCTCGAAAATCGAAAAATATCATATAAATTGGGACGGAGGAAATAGTACATTCTACTTATCTTATAGTTTAATATGAAAATCTTTTTTAATTTCTCAAACTGTGCGTCAAATCAAAATCAGACAAATAAATTGAAAAAGAGTAATGAGCAAAACCTTTTCAGCAGGATCAGAGGAATCAACAGCAGCAACAGCCCTCTTAGTGGTTCTACTTAATTTCCAGCTGCAGTTCTTGAAAAGAGTGTTGTTGGGTGATTGGGAAAACTGGGTACCATGTAAAAGGAGAGAAGGTTTATGAGTAAAATGGGTAGGAGAATTCACTACAGAAGTGCAAAATGAAGCAAGATTCAGAGCTGTTGAAGCTGACATTGTTAACGAGAATGGTGTGTATGATTTTCTCTATGTTTAGAATGGCAAGAGAGAAACAAAGAAGATTACTAAAAGATTGTGTGCCAACTGGGAAAATGTACCAACCTTATCCTACCTTGCACCCCCCCCCACCCGGCCACAACCCCCACAACCCACTACTACCAAAATAGAGAAAATGACCAAAATAGTCCTTTTACCAAATAGACACCATAAATTCTTGATTTATTGACCCCATAAATCCATAATTATTAGCTATGTCCAACAATAGTCGTCTCTTATTGATTCTCCACATTTTGTAAGAAATTATAAATAAAAAGATAATTTTATTATATTACCCTTTTGAATATAATAAATACAATATTTGTAAAATATAATAGGAAAATGACTATAATTAACGATAAGGATAAATTAGGAACTAAGTGTAAAATTATCTATTGATTTAATAAAGTGGATAAATATTGTTGGACATCCTAAAATAGTATAATAGACAAGTATTGTTAGACGGAGAGTATATATTTTAGTTTGGAGTATATTTATCCATCACTCTTTTTATTAGAGGAGTCATTAAATATACGAAATTTAAGAAAGAAAAAAGTTTTTTAAAAAAAATTATAGATGTTTGTGAGATTATATGGAAAAATAGACAAACTAAAATTAAATTATTACTAAATATAATAATATGTCTCTGACTAAAAAAGAAATATATCACAAATATTGGGACACAAGGAGTAATAACTTTTGAAATAATATTTCTTCCGTTTTAATTTATTCTACATATTTAACTTAATACATAATTTAATAAAATAAAATAATTTTTTGAATTTTGTGATTTTAAATTAAAGATATGTCAAATATATCGAAATGTCTTTAATCTTGTATCACACGAAAAGTTGTAATTAAAAAATTGCTACAAAAGAAAAAAAATCATTCTTTCTAATACGAACTTAAAAAAAAAGGATGAGTCAAATGAATTGAAACGAAACTATTAAGGGCCCGTTTGGCCATGCGATATGGTATCATGATATGGTCTCATGATTCCAGGTATCATGAGATGAAATTGAAGTTTTGTTTGGATATGCTATATGGAATTTTTTGTGTTGTATATTTTCTCATAAACATAAAAATTCCATAAGTTGTAAAACTATTAAAATAACCCCAATTGTTTATTCAATCTTATTAAATAAACAAAAATTTATAAAATCGCATAATAAATTATTACAAAGTTATTTGTTTTCCACTTAAGTAATTGTTTCATTTAACTTTAATTTTAATAAAAAAAATTGAACATAAATTGTAGTGTACTAGTCTTTAATATAATCCTCCCACATAGTACGGACAATTTTCTCACATTGAACTTGCATTTCTCGATCATGTGACTGAGAAGACGAACCAACATTGTTACTTTGAGCAATTTGTTGTCAATATCATCCGCAACTATATTTTCATGCTTATGGACCATAAATATTTCATTACTTTAACAATCGGTTGGTGTGAGTTAAAGTGACTATATGTTGGTGAGAATAATAAATTTTATGTCGGTGAGAACAATAAATTTTAAAAAAGTAATGATGTGATTATAAATTTTATTTACATATAAAATGGTTAATCGATATAAATGTGGGGTTGTTTTAACAAAATATAAACTTGTGGATCAATTTTTGTATTAAAATATTTCAAATCATGATATAGAATTACCATATAATTCGATATCATGGTTTTTGGGAATATAGAATCACATCTCATGATATGGAATCAACGTAAAATCGCATGTCCAAACGTTAATTTCATCTCACGATACCATATCGTGATATGATATCACATGACCAAACGCCTACTTAACTATAATCCGATAACATATGTTAAAAGTAGTTATTTACCCATTTGTCCCCAATTAATAAAGGAAAATATGTACTTCGTTTTTTACCCTATCTATTTATATTTAACAAAAGGAAAAGGATTAGCCAAAAAATGTAGTAAATTACTGACCTACCCTCTTGACCCAAGCTTCTCTCCTATTCCCTCTTTTATACGTATTCAGTTATAAGAATAAAAATTTACTTTTTCAAAAAATAAATAAATTGTTGTCCATAATCGTTTATCGTTTCCCTAAAACCTACGTGTGATTTATTCGCCATCACCGACTCATCGCCGGCGTATTCTCCGATGGCACGCAACTGTAGAACAAGTGACGGAGAACCTCAAACGCCAGAGGAAGGAGAAATTATTGACGATGTTCCTGTGGTATGTTTCAACAATATTTCTTCGATTAATTTTGGTTTAAATGCAAAGTTTTAACTTGAAGCAACAATTTTTTTTTGATTTTGTGCAAAATTTATGTAACTAATGATGTTTCAGCTGCTTGATTAATAAATATGTAGCACAACAACGAGAGACATGATAATTACCTATTCCCATACTGAGCATTGATTACATTGGGGACAAAGTTACTCTAGGCGTGTTGGTGTTCTCATGGCTGAGGTCTTTCTTTTTATGTTTTTGTTTGCTTGTTTGTGAAAATTAAACCTTGTCTTATAAAATATTTAGGAAAAAGTTACATTTATGTTTTAATTCTGCGCAGAATGCTAGTTATGTAATTGAATTGGATTCTAAACCACGCAAGGTTCAAGTAAGTCGAAAGCATAAGAGCAGCAATGATTACTATGCGAGTGATTTGCAGGTTGAAAGAAAACCCGGAAAGAGGCATAGGGTCTCATCTTCTCAGAATGAAGTTAATGAGTCACATAGAGGAAGATGGCAATCCGAAAGCATTTTGGAGGAGTATGCATATGAGATGGAAAGGGAAGTATATACAAGTAACTTGGATGATGATATAACTGGACATTTCAGGGACTATCACCATGGATATCAGGAATCCTCGAAGGAGCATAAATCTAGTTACAGCAGACACATGCGAGAGAAAGATAGGGAGCGAGAGTTGGAAAGGGAAAGGGAAAGAGAGAGAGGGAGAGAGAGGAAAAGAGAGAAAGCTCAATATGAAGAATCAAAAATATGAGAGGGAGAGGGAGGAGGAAGAGGGACAGGGAAAGCAGAGGACCAAGTAGGGAGGATAGGGATAGATACAATGATAGGTCCAGTAGGCAGTGGAAATTTCATGACCTTGATGACGATGGCAATGCTTACCATAGACGTTATGAGACTGACAATGAGAGAGACAGGGCAGCTAATCTCCTCAAATTTGGAAAGCAAAAAACTCAAGAGACAGAGAGTGAGAAACGTAAAAGGTATTGGCAATTCTATGTTTTTTTATACTAAAAAAATAGTCAGTGTATTTAGTTTCCTGTTTCTTTAATACTGGTTTTTGTTTTCATTGCAGAGATGAAGTTGAACAGAAGGACTATCAGGAAAAAATTGCTTTCCAACTTGCTCAACAGGAAGAGGAGGAAGAAGAAGATGAACTTGATAGAATTAAGGAGGAGAGCAGAAGGCGCAGACAAAGCTATTCTTGAAAAGTATAAGAATCAGCCTTCACAAAAATCCGGAGACAATGGTAAGTTATTTGACATGTGATTTTTGTAAAATATAATTCAATTCTGTTTTTCTGTATTTCTTCTTGCCTGTTGTAGAGCTCTATCTGAAGAGGGAAGAGTCTTTGGTTGGTTGTGTTCCAATTTCCAACTTCTTTTGAGCCAAGGGACTACCGGAAACAATCTCTCTACCTCAAAAAGGTAGGGGTAAGGTAGGCGTGCATCCTACCCAACCCAAACCCCACTTGTGGGATTATATTGGGTATGTTGTTGTTGTTGTTATTGACTTATTGATCACCCAGTTTTGCTAAGCAATTTAACTGCCAAGTTCTTGCTTTATTTTGGATTCGAACTCTTATATGTGCATGTTATAAAACTTAGGATGTTGAGTTGGATACTGTCTTCACTTCAGAGTTTATTAGATTGTCATTGCACCTGAGCTTGTTCAGAGCTATTTGCTGTGATTTTCTCTGCTATTCCTCTGCATGATTCTCTCTCTTGTTGAGTTTCTGGTATCTAATTGTGTTTTTTATTTATTGGCATTAGCGGAGGTTCATGTGAATCGGTCTACTGAGAAGCATGCAGCTGGAGATAGTGCTGTACCAGAGCCCATTGATGGTCCAACCAATGGTGCAGATGTACATGGTGATGAGCCAACATTTTATTCTGGGAAATCACCTTTGCCAGGAGGTCATAATGCTGATGAGAAGGCTTCTGGAGCTGGTGGACTGGGACAGGGTACTCCAGAGGTAGATGTGTTCACTTGACCCTGAGATTGAAATGGGTTTTTCTTTTCTGGTTGTGCTCATTCTTCTTTTTTGTTTTATCTTCCAAACTGTAAAGTTATGACACATGAGTCTAACTCAACCCCAAAAGGTAGCTCATGATGGGAGAATTGCCCAAGCCCATCTAAGCAGACGACTAGTCCTTTCCCCAACCAATGTGAGGCTTTTACCTACTCTAACACCCCCCTTCACACCCTGGCCGAACTAGAGCGTGGACCGGGAGTGCAACGGGGATAGACCTGGCTCTGATACGATGTAAAAATATGGCACCTGGGCCTAACTCAACCCCAAAAGCTCCTTTCCCCTTTTGTTAGGGATTGTTTTAGAATTATCGATGAAATCTTCCCCACTGGGCTCAAATACTTTGGAATGCTGATAATGCGGCTTACTTCTTCTGATCATAAGTCATTACTTTGCAGTTCTCAACAGAGGAGCTAGTGAAGACGCTTGAGAAAAAAATTGAACGTCTCCAACAGCAACCACAGGTTAGAATTTGTGCTCATTTTTTTCCCAATCTTTCAACACTAGTTTCTGTGAGCTCGTAATGCTTCTCCCGTTCATTAGGGGTTTGTTTTAAAATTAGTTGATGAGATAATACTTCTAAATGCTGATATTGCAGCTTTTCTGATCATAGTCATTACTTTGCAGTTTTCAACAGAGGAGCTAGTGAAGGAGCTTTCTAAACAAAAAGAAAATTTCAAACAGCATCAACAGGAGCATGAGGATGGAGTTAAGCAACAGGTTAGAATTTAACTCGAATACTTTTGAGAATAACCTGTTGAATATAGTTTGCCAATGGAGTTTCTTGCAACTGGGCTCAAATACTTTGGCATGCTGATAATTCTCAAAAAAAATAAAAAATACTTTGGCATGCTGATAATACAGCTTACTTTTCTGATCATTTGTCATTACTTTGCAGTTTCCAACAGAGGAGCTAGTGAAAGAGCTTGCGAAACAAATTGAATATCTCCAACAGCATCAACCGGAGTATAATGACCAAGTTAAGCAACAGGTTGGTATAGCTTTTTCTCCTTCAGCATATTTCCTAAATGCTGGCTTCCTCTATCTGATGATTGACCTACTGTGTTAACACTTTATAGAGTGAGAGGTCGGCTGACATGTTTTGTGACGATATATTTGGAGAATCACCTGCTGCCATTCCGAAAATGGTGAGTCTGTCTTGGAAACATTGTCGGAGAATATCATTATTATTATTATTATTATTATATTAATTCAAACAAAATGTGAGTGTCCCTTTCTTTCCTACTGAACCCAAAATGCAACGTAAAAATGGGGTACCATTTATTGAAATGATGACTACAAAATCTTTTATTTTATTATTATATGTTTCTAGTTGAAGGGTATTCCCTTTGTCCATATTGTGGAAGTGTATTACTTGGTGGCAGTTTTTGCTATTACTGTTCAGTTTAGAGTGTGATATCTAGGAATCATGTATTGTTTGAACTCTATTGATTCTATGAATCCCTCTACCTTGTGCTGTATGCTCCAAGGGAAAACCCTGGCCTATAAGTGAGAAAAAGAGAGGATTGTTCTATTCTTTGTACTCGTGCTTAGACTGAATTGTACGAAATAATTTATTTTGCCTATGGAGAGTCCTTTCTTTGTCAAATCAGGCTGTAATAAGTAAACAAATATCATGTTTGTCTGGTTATATCTGTTTTGCAGGGCAAAGGAGATGGCATGCCGACCGAGCGCAATTGTCTTCATGATAACTGGAATGATCCGGAAGGGTATTATAGTAAGTGTTTAGTCTCACATTTTGCTTGGATCCTTCTTATTTGAGCTTTTACTTCAGAGCATGTTGACACTTCTAAATTTGTTTTTTTCTCCCTCTTCCTTGATATTTGCTCATGACAGTTCCTTCATTCTGTTATTTGATATGTCATACTGCAAGTTGACATTGTTACCTCAAAAAAGTAGCTTTATCCTTCTGCTTATTTTTGTCAACTAATCCTGTAATGGCTGGTAACTGTTGTCTTAGTTGATGGTCTAATTCTTTCTCATCGTTTTTTGCAGGATACCGATTCGGAGAAATTCTTGATGGCCGTTATGAGATTCTTGCTGCTCATGGGAAAGGCGTCTTTTCTACTGTCGTTCGAGCTAAAGATTTGAAGGCTAGACCCGGTGACCCGACAGAAGTAGCTATAAAAATCATTCGTAATAATGATACGATGTGAGATAGTCTATTAATTTCTCCATTGTTTGCCGACCTTGCTTGTTTTTTTTTGTGTCCTAATTTTGTTGCTTCTGCTCATCAGGTATAAAGCGGGTATGGAAGAGTTGGTCATATTGAAGAAGCTGGTTGCTGCAGATCCTAAAGACAAGCGCTGCTGTGTTCATTTAGTCTCTAGCTTCAAGTACCGGAATCATCTTTGTCTAGTATTTGAGTCTCTCTGGATGAATCTCCGTGGGCTCCAGAAGAAGTTTGGGCGTAACATTGGACTCAGCCTCGACGTTGTGAGGCTTTATGCGAAGCAACTTTTCAGTGCTTTGAAGCATCTAAAGAGTTGTGGCGTGCTTCATTGTGATATTAAACCCGACAACATCTTGGTAAGTGGAATGTTTGAGTATTCTATCTTTTGCTTTTGTATGCATATGATGACTTTTCTGTATTTAATTGTTAAGGTAAATGAAGCGAAAGACAAGCTGAAGCTTTGTGACTTTGGCAATGCTATGTTTGCTGGCAAAAACGAAATCACTCCATACCTCGTGAGCCGCTTTTATCGCGCCTCCGAGATCAGTAAGTATCAATTCTCAAGATTTACCATCTATTTATTTTTTTGACCTTCCTTTCACTTTTTTTTTTGTTTGATGCTCCATTGTTTTGATCCCAAGTAGTTGTATGGATCTGTCTCTTTTGTTTGCTAATGTATTTTTTCTTGTTGCAGTACTTGGCTTGTCATACGATCATTCGATGGATATTTGGTCAGTAGGTTGCTGTTTGTTTGAGCTTTATGCTGGGAAAGTCTTATTTCCAGGTCGTTCTAATAATGACATGCTCCGTCTTCATATGGAACTGAAAGGTCCATTTCCGAAGAAGATGCTTAGAAAGGTTCGTCTTAAGACATTCTCTATATTACCCCAATCTGAACAAAATCATTCATAGTCTGGTCACTATTCGCTGTGGACAATTCTGTTATGATGATTGCATTAGGTAGCTGCTTTTATTTATTGTTGTAATAAATACTGACATGATATAGCTAGTATGGAAACAATAGTACTTTTTGTTCCTCTTTTATCACAGGGTGCATTTACATATCAGCATTTTGACCAAGATCTGAACTTCCTTGCCACTGAAGACGATCCTGTTACAAAGAAGGTATGTCTTGTAGACCCCTTAAGCCTGTCTTGTCGATTCCTGATAAACAACCCTTTAGTGATGAATGGTAATAACTTTGATGTACTTCTAAGTTTTGGATGTGATTGTATTTGTTTGCAGGCTATTAGGAAGCTGATTGTCAACATCAAGCCGAAAGATATCAGTTCAGTAATTTCAGGTGACCCAGGTGAAGAATTAAAGATGTTGGCTGACTGGCTCACTTTAAAGATTTGATGGAGAGAATATTTGTGTTAGATCCTCTAAGGAGAATCACTGTTTCCCAGGCATTAGAACATCCATTCATCACGAAGAAGTGAGCGACAATGATGATGTAACACCACAAATTTTGTAAATTTATTATGTGCCTTTAGATGATATTGTTTTTATAGTAACTATTTTTTTAATCACTTCTCTTGAATTTAAATTTTGTTTGAAAAAGAAGAGAAGACTTGTTATATCTTGTTGAATCTTTGAAGTCCACTTTGTGATTTGATATAAATCGTACTAACTTTCTACTCATCTAAGATAACTAGATAAGCCCTTTATTAGCAAAACCCCTTTTTAGTTTTCAGAAGTCGCTTCTTCTTCTAACCCTACATTGGGGAGCTCTCAATCGACAATCGACACAAGTGCTATTCTCCAACTATCATCAAGATCATATTTTTGTTGCATAAAATTTCTCGTTTCCATCTTTTGAATATATGTAGGAATGTTGGCTCCAAGAATCAATAGGTTTTGAATTTGTGAAGGAACTCTCTCAAACTTGTGGTAAGCTTCTTATACAACATCTTTTAGTGAAATATTCTAGTGTTCTTTTGTTAAAAAATTTGAGATCTTGAAAATAAGGAATTCAATCCTGTTTATGAACTAAACAGTGAGTAATGAGCTCATATCTTTTTACCAATAACTTGGATTGAGGTGATTCAATAGACTGTAAAAAGATAAAAGAAATATCCATGACTTTCACATGTTTTACAAAAATTCTTAATTCCTCTGTTTACTGTGTGAAAAATGGGGCACAAAGCAGGCAGCGTTTCTGGCAGATTTTTTTTCTTAAAGTTTTATGAATGGTTGTGGCCCATTTAGTTCCCCTTTTGATATTCATCATGGTTTGCTTTAAACCTCTTCAGATTTCAGACCCTAAGTGGGTGTTTGGTTGTGTATTAAGGTACTAAAGCTACTTACTCTAGATAAGGAGGTCGACATAATTGTTTGATTCTTTGCTTTGAGGATCTATACTTCCTTGATGTTGTTTGAGCTCTAGGAACACTAAAGCTTCGACGTTTGCACATAAACTTGAATTTTCCTTTCAATTTGTTTTGCTTAGATATTGTTCCTTGAGACCAAGGGTCTATCAGAAACCACCTCTCTACCTCCCAAGGTAAGGGTAAGTTCAGCTTACATTGTACTCTCCCTAGACCCCACTTGTTGGATTACACTGGGTATGCTGATGTTGCTGTTGTCATATTTATTTTGTTGCTACTTTACTAGTTTTCTTGTTTTGTCGGTTCAGAAAGTATGTCTTGACTCTTGGACACTTTGCATAAATTAGTTATCACTGAGGGTACAATTTTGTAGTTGGGTTATGAATACGTTAACATCACATTGGTGTAAACGGGAAATAATTTTTGTAAGATAATTTAACTCACCCACATATACGGATTGCTAGAGCACTATTGCATTCTTTTGGGACTTTGTCCTTCTTGTGATCGTGACTATCACTTATTTTGACACGTCTCTTGGAATAGTTTGGATCTTGCGCATCTTGACTTTGAATTTACGATTCATCTTATTTATGGACTTACGTCCAATTTAAGTATGAAACTATGAATAAAAAGCCACTTTCCTACTTCAGCTCATATTCTAAAAGATGGTTTACAAAGAATATCTCCATGTCATTTGGTCTGGAAGGGATTCCAGAGTCTTAGTGCAGAAAGAGAACTACAGATAGACTAGCTTGGGAAATAGCTTTCATTCTAAGAGTTGTGTTCTAGAAGCTATCCTTTTGATGATGTTGTTTACATTCCATAGATAGTGGGTTGTCACGGACTTAGAATTCTCACTAAAACTCCGTGCGGCACTTGACAATTTACTCACGAATCTTTCACGATCTTGTAAGCTCAAGTAAACCCTTTGAAACTAAGATCGCTAAGAGAATGAAGAGGAAGACTTAGAGTATTTTGGAAGAAGGCTTATATTGCTTGGAAGAATGCTTTACACTTTCTTTCTTGGTAGCTTGCTTGGATGGTGCCTTGCAAATGAGGGGCACATCTATTTATACTACCTCCTAGGGACTAAAATGTAATTAATATTTACTTTACAAGTTCCTAAACTATTTACACTTTGGTCCCTCCCTAGAATCTTCTACTAATTCTAGGAAATTCTAAAGCTTTTCAAGAAAATATCTAGTCCCTCTTCTAGAATTCTCTAGAATGTTCTAAGGCTTTCTTGGAAACTATGTAGGACCTTCCATTGCCTTCTAAGTTATTCTAGAGGGAATTCTCTAGCCTTCTTGAATAATCTAAAGGGTTCTAGAGTTTTTCGGAAACCTCTCCACAACTCTAGACCCTTTCGCCCCTATCCGGACGCAAAATTTAACTGTGATGTGGCGGGACGTGACAAGGTAGTGTTTTTTGATGTATAAGTGACTTTTATATGGAACGGGAAGGTGCAATGTAGCTTATTTGTGGTTCTTATCATTCACTACTTGGTGATTAATACACGTGACTAGTTACCAAAAAAAATCCACTTCCAACATGACTTTTTATCGTCTTGATTTTTTGGGTGATGATCCTACTTGATTAAGACTCCGGCTCTTCTTTTTTAATCAATAATGCTTTGATGTAATTGCTTGACGTAGTATTAGGTAAAATTAACTAATTGGTGGAATTTCGAATTAGCTCTGGGAAGCTTCTTGACACTTGAAATTTTTAATATTTGCATCTTGAACTACTTTATGGTTTGGTATTTGATTTTCTTGAAGCATCTACCTTCATTAAGTATTTGATGGTGATTTTGATAAGCTCATTTCTAGAATTCATATCTTGAACGCCTTACTTAGCTTTAGTTAAATTCATGTGTTTAAGTTTGATATGATATATATTGCAGTGTTCTATTTTATGGGAATTGGAGAAATTAATGGCTCCAAACCCTAAGTTTGTGTGCCACTAAGCTTTATGCTTAGCAATAGTTTGTTACTATTGTAGGTGAATGGCTCCAACCCCTTGCTTTCACTAGTAAAAGTGAGTGCCAAAGAAATTTAATTTAAAAATAAGTCAAAAGCCAAAAGTAGGGTATCATCTACTTGTGACTTTTAGTTTTTGACTTCTAAGTTACTTTTTATAAGCCCAACCAAACAGGCAGTTAAACCTGAGACTCACTTCATTGACCATTTGGGCACACCTTCAGTGTTTTAATTGATTCAATTCTTGTTTGAAGTAAAAGTCTTTAGCTTTCTTTGTGCAGAAACTTAACTCCATTTTGGTCATCAAAATCTCACACTTGATACCATCCCTTACTCTGTGCTATAACATTGTGGATGTCTAAGTATGGAGGTATTTTGGGTAGTGAAAAAATGATCTTAGGATTATTGATATTTAATTTCTAAAAAAATGACCTCTGTAGATTTTTATGTGGATATTTTGAAGACTTTCCACTTGAATTAGAGGCTTCTTTGATGTGTATCTTAGGAGGGGAATTGAGGGTTGGAGCCTAAAAAGGATACTTTTAGGGTATTCTTCAAACGTTTTTGATGTGTCATTTTTGTGGGTGTAGATGAGTACATAACTAGATCAATACTAACAAAGAAGTTTTAGGATGACATTAGCAATTAGCTTGTCGAGCACAATTGAGAAGATGGCAATGTCATTTTTGTGGGTGATTTGTGGGATAACGAGACTAAAATGGTACTGGTGATATTGTATTCCTCAGCATTAAGGATATGCTGGAGACCTTCAAAAGAGGAGCAGAATAAGAGAATAAGGGGGAAACTACTTACAGAGAGCCTAACAGATCTACAGGCTCTAATTCCTCTATATCTGCTTCTTTACACCAAAAAAAGAAAGATACAACGCAATTCCATTTAACTTTATGAATGGAATTGGACTTATCTTCAAAAGGAAACGGAAGCAAAGGTTTGTGGTGTTCTACTCTCTCTCTCTCTCCACAGTCCACCAAATGCAATGTGGAATGAATTTCCACCATCTCTTCTGGCTCTTGCTTCCACCTCTTCTAATCCAGCAGCTCAAAAGATCCACAGTGTGCTCAGGCATGGTCCATTTTGTGTCTGTGAGAATAAGAAATAAATTCCATAACTGAGCAACGCTACCAATATATATATATATATATGTTTTATTCCTGATACTAAGTTCCATATCAAGTGTTGTTTGTATTGCGTTAGAAAGCGTAACTTAAGAAGGGTGGGTTTGTAGAAATGGCAAAGTTATGTCATAATAGTAGTAGTGAAGTGAGACAGTGCCTTCGGTGTGTCAGGGAAATGTTGGATGAGGACACTAAAGAAGGATCTCTAGTAAAGCGAGTGGTGGGAGAATGAGAGACTTTGGTAGCACGAAAAGATTAGAGAAAAATGAGGAAAGCAAGATTTGAATGGGAGAGATGAGTTTAGGAAGTCTCAAAGGGTCTGTCAAGGGTTTTTGAAGGTGGGGATGTTCGATTATGTCACACATTGAGTAGTATAAAAAGGTTGAAGTTGGGGAAGACAAATATAGAGGAAAGTATGCGACTTGCTGAATCTTGAATGTATACTACTTTTGTTTCTCTAAACTCAATTATTGAAGACATAATCTCTTGTGATCCTCTTTTGACAGGAAAATTGAAGTCCGTGCAGATAGACCATGATGGTGGCTTAACTGCAGTGTATAGAAAAGCTTCTGATGTTTGTAGAAGAGAAACTCGAAATGAAAAGCTTGACGGCTCACAAGAAATTTGACATATTAACTTCATGATGCATCTAGCTAATGATTATTCTAATCAGGCCGGCCAAGCATCCTTATAAGGTTAACACATATGGTTGCTCAGAAGGTAATCCTGGCCCTGGTGGAGGAAATGAAAATCTCGCGATGGCCTTCAGATCTTTTTTTTGGATCTTGCACCAACAATTTTGCTGAAGTTACTGCTATCCTAGTAGGTATGACACTAACAATTTGCCAGTGCACTGATAATGGCTATCAATAATATGATGGATTCTCAGTGGTAAATCAAGAAATATAGTAGAAAAGATCAAAGTCTTGAAAGAGAAAGGAGAATTATGTTTTGCGCATTTGCTATAGAGAAAGCAAATATTGTTGTTGATGCCATAGCTAACTGGAGTCAAAAGCTTACAAAATACCCACTTTAAAGATGGAGAAGCATTGACCAAAATAAGCTATTTTAAAAACCAATTCACCAAACTAATACGCTTTTTAATTTTTTTACAAAAGTAGTATAAACGTACTTCATGGTAACGTTTTAGGTTATTTTTATTTTAAAAATTCAACTGACAAAAACTGACGGAACTGACGACATTAAATGAATAAACGTTACTGTAAGTAACGTTTTAGGTGTAAAACGTTACTCCCAATAACGTTTATTGAGAATCCGATCACATCAACCTTGCAAATGCAGAATCAAATCCTGCAAATTTAAAACGTTACTATGAGTAACGTTTTACACCTAAAACGTCACTCACAGCAACGTTTTACACCTAAAACGTTACTATGAGTAACGTTTACTAAGAATCCAATCACGGGTCTTCAACTCCTGCAAAATTAGAATAAGTCAAGTTTATCATATTATGTTAAGTTCTTACTATAGCTTTAAAATTATTTTTCTAATTTATTAATATTATTTTAAAAAATCTCTTAATAATATGATACACTTGACTTATTACCTAATAAAGTTTTGTGAATATTATTTTAACAATGGGCAACACAAGTAAAAGTTTTGTTGAATATTGTTGGAATATGCAAAACATTCCTTACAGCAACATTTATTTTACAATCACATGTGGTCAGTTTAAAAAATGAAGGAAGACTTTAACAGAGTGTCGTAACTGACAGTCACGTTTTTGAGGTAAAACGTTACTATGAGTAACGTTTTATAGCTAAATTTGCAGGAGTCAAAGGATTCTTACACCTAAAACGTTACTGTGAGTAACGTTTTAAACCTAAAACGTTACTATGAGTAACATTTTAAATTTGCAGGATTTGATTCTGCATTTGCAGGGTTGACATGATTGGATTTTCAATAAACGTTATTGTGAGTAACGTTTTACACGTAAAACGTTACTCACAGTAACGTTTATTCATTTAACGTCGTCAGTTCCGTCAGTTTTTGTTCGTTGAATTTTTAAAATAAAAATAACCTAAAACGTTACCATGAAGTACGTTTATACTACTTTTGTAAAAAATTTAAAAAGCGTATTAGTTTGGTGAATTGGTTTTTTAAATAGCTTATTTTGGTCAAAACTTCAAAGATGGATGAGGACCAAATTATCAACTTCAGAGTTAGGACTTGAAAAAAGTTCTTTGATGTGTAGTTTACTTGTGTCTGTTAGGTTGATTATTCATGGATGCTTTACAAGAGAAATGATTTAACCTGTAATTTTTTGTGTAGGCTGGAGCAACAACTCTTCTGTCTTTTGAAGCTGTGGTGGATAGGTTTGTTATCCCCTAACTACATGTATTCACCTTTTGGTTGTTAATATACAGGTAGGGGTTGCTAAATCTGAAAAAATGAGCTAAAAGTGTATTGTAGGTTTCCAATTAAGAAAAAGGACAAGTGGGCCCCATTACTTTTTCTCTACTTTTTTATTTGGACAAATTATTTAACTACACTCCATTTACGTACTTTAATATCCATTTATCCCTACTTATTTCAAAAATTTCAAAAATCCCTTATTTACCTATGTATCCCGCATGTATCCCGTGCACAATGCTATGTATCCCGCTATGTGGAATGTATCAAACGTTATGTATCCCGTGCACAACGCTATGTATCCCGCATGTATCCCGTGCACAAAGCTATGTATCCCGCTATGTGGAATGTATCAAACCTAATGTATCCCGTGCACAACGCTATGTATCCCGCTATGTGGAGTGTATCAAACCTAATGTATCCCATGCACAACGCTATGTATCCCGCAAACATCATTTTTAAGGGATTTTGGTAAATAGAAAACTAGAAGGGATAGAATGTTATTTAGTACTTATAATATGTGGTTCCTATAATTTATACTTTTTATTTTTAATATTAATAAAAAGACTGAACTAATAACATCTTTCGTAGTTGTCCTCACAACTACGATAGTTGTTGGACTAAAGTGTAAAAGTTAAAAGTTTGGGACTATTGAGAAAACATCTTTTAACCTGATTAATACTATTTGTCACTTCTACTCAATTTTTAAGACTTGAATGACTCCTACCTAATTGACTCACTAGTTTGTTCCTTTTAATAGACCTTCCCGCTAAACCCCTACCACTTTGGTGAATTAAAATTGAGTCATTAGCGCGAATGCTCTTGTTTTGGGGTGATTTCGAATTTTTGCCCTTTGAGTAACAAAAATTTAGCCAAAAATACCCGACATGAAAAATTTGCGAGACACAAATTATGCCAACGAGAGGAGAAGTCTCGAGCCGCAAAGTTGTGTTGTAAGACATAAGTTCCATTTCAGAACATTAGGCCTTAACCACGGCATTCTGTGCAAAAACTTGATTAAAAATAGAAGGGAAAAAATGTTGTTATTGCCATTTGAACTTACGACATCTTCACCACATGACAATAACTTTTACTTTTGCACCAAGGCTTCCCATAACAATGACAATATGTTAAAAAGCTTAAATAACAAGATGAAACTGCTATATTAAACAACTTTCAAAGAGCTATAGAATGCTCTTGAAAATATGTCATCATTAATCCCATATAACAAGATGAAACTGCCATAATAAACAACTTTTAATTCCAACTGTTAGTTGTTATAAGCAACACAAAGAAAATGGTTTAGTGCAGTAGACACAAAGAAAATGAAAAATATTGCATACAAACAAGTTTATTCAGGAGACAAAAAAGCCAAAACGTAAAATGCAAGTTCATAAGTTTTTTTTTTTGTAAGAAAATAAAAATAAAAATTGACAATCATGGTGTCCAAACTTTCCACAAAATAACTACCACCTTCCACTAATTATAGTTACCACGTATTAGGATAGTGGATAGATGGAAAGAGATCATCTGCTAGGATTTGAATTGAGACCTTATGATTCTTAATTCACTTTATCGACCAATTATACCACACGCTTGATAAGTCATATTTTGGAAGGCACAATTTTTTTTTGACCAAACAGAGAAGGCATGATTATAGATGTTGAAGGATATTCAGAAAATGTCTTATTTCATGAAACATGCATTTATCTCAGTCAGTTAGAACTCAACTTAAAATTAAATTCAAATGATTCTAAAGACTAACTTAATAAACTAATTTCACGGGATATTTGTTCCCTCCAACCAACAAGTATCAGTTAACTTTATCTACTAATGCTAGAACAAATGAGAAGAAATCACCTAGTGTTTTTCTAAGCTAGGATTGAACCTGAGACCTCATGGTGCTTAAACCCACGTCATTGACCACTAGGTCGCACCTGGTGCAAAACATAAGTTATTACAACAGTCGAATTTTTAACTTGCATCCCAGATAATAATACCTTCATTCAGGACAAGGCACAGGACTCGAGCAAAGCTTTAAATTCAATGCTGCACTATAATAATGAATTACTCCCTCCGTCCATTTTTATTTTGGTTCTCAAAAGTCAATTTGACTAGTTTTCAAAGTTAAATTAGATTACATTAATTTGATATTTTAAACAAAAAATTCAGATATTCAAAAACTATACGAAAAGTACTATAAATTGCAATTTTTTGCATATCAATATAATGAAAAAATACATTGTAAAATATTAGTCAAAGTTTTTATAATTTGGCTCTAAAAAGGAAAATATGACAATTAAAAGTGGACGGAGTCAGTATTAGTTTGCATTTCTCATTTTCATCACATGCATGTTGTCATTTATACGGTTATCAAAAGAGTAGCACATCTGTTTGTGTTTAATTTATAACTGGATATTAACGTATTTTCCATAGTTGAGTTCCAAAACTCATTGTATGTTATTCAATATTTCTGCTCATGTCCAAACACTACTCACAGATCATCATATATAAATATAAACCTCCAGAAATGTATTCTAAAATAATTCAAATATTGTGTTGACCTAAAATATCCTATCAATTGTACGTTTTGAACAAGTTCTATTTTAAAATATTCAGCCCAGGGGAATCAGCCGTCTTGACTACCACAATAGTGTATTTATCTCTCCCCTAATTACCTTTTATAATGATAATTATTTTAAAAATATACGAAACATAGCTATACTTGTGAATTTTATAGCAAATCCATAAAAATTGATCTTCCCCTCATTATTATGTTTCTTCTGTTCTCTCCAGCTACTTTATTTTCTTCAACCCCCTCTTATATTTTTTAAGTGAGTTGAATTAAGCAAATCAAAATCGATTGAGTTAATTTTATAGATGATTAATCCACGCCTACTAATAATGTAACTGCAATTAAATCATATTAAAAAGATATTTACTGCAACTACCTTTGTAGTATTAACTATTAAGCACATAGTAACCAAATATGTCACAAATAATAAAATCAGAATGGTAGATCTCTCCATCTGAATAAAGTCAACTCTACAAATTCTAAAGAACGTCTAAAAGCACTAATTTCCCGCTATGCGCAGATTGAGGAAAGGGTCGTATGTCTATTATACACAACTATATTGTGCATATCTAAAGAATGTCTCAAATTGCAAAATCAACTACAAGTGACTAGTTGCACCAGTTGATAAGGATGCTCTAGAAACCATGTCAGCTTGATAAAAATACTTCCTCTTTTCAAATAGGAATTGATTCGATCTTATTATTAGAATATTCAAATTCAACTGAATATACTGTTTTCAAGAAGGGATCACCATCACCAGTGGAAGTTGAACCAAGCGATCTCTTCCTCCTGAAGTACAGAAAAATGAAGAAAAAGCAGTCAATCACAGGGAAGGAAATAGAGAAGGTAAGGAACCAATTTCCTTGTTCAAGCCGGTATTTAATAAGTAGTAAGTAAGTGAAAAGTCGATTCTTTTATGTTGAGAAAAGAAATCACTTGCTAAGATGCTTTCAATCTTACTTGTGCTCATATATCAAAACCTAATCCCTGTTCAAACTACCTCATCTGTGAGTCCAAAGCCAAACTTGTAGTCTTCTTTTTGTGATCGACCTGAACAAACGATAAAGAACACATTTAGGACAATAATGAAAGTTATACAGCCAACCTGTGAGAGATTGATTGTATTCGAATTAGTAAAAGCAAGAAGGAAAAGAATAGATAGAGGGGTGTGCCCCTTATCTACCAAGTTTTTATCCATGCGCCTCTCAGAAAAAAGGTGGGACGAAATCAAGAAGCTTTTCATATTTCGGCGTCATTGAGGGAAGGAGAAATGTCCTCAACCCAAAATGAAAGTCATTGGGAACATGTATTCTGTGAAGGAGCTATGACAAGATAGAGAAGTCTAGATGCAACCTACCTCGGCTGATAAAATGAAATTAAGACCCACGTTCAAGCGCTCTTCCAAGAAACCAGCAACACATCCATCTTCCTTCTGAGACAACACTGTAATGAATGCAAAATATTGAAACAATATGTTAAATTCATGATAACCATGGTTGATTAGAAGTCCTAACGCTGTTGCAATGAAGCCACTAAAGCAAGATCAACTAATTGAGTTCTCATAACTATTGCAAAACGCATAATAGCAGCCCACAAAAAATTTCTATATGACTATTGGGCACCAAAGGGTATAGCCTAGTAGTCAATGAAGTGGATTAAGAACCATGTATTCTCGAATCAAATCCCAGTGAAGGCAAAAAAGCTAGTTGATTTCTTTCCATTTATATAGGCCTTGGTGGACAAAATTACAGGTATCAGTGTTGGTGGGTGATAGTAGGTACACCGTGGAATTAGTATAGGTGTGTGTTAGTTGGCCCGAACACCATTGAAATCCAATACAATAAAACAAAAGTTTTTAATGTCTACATTGAAAGTCAAGAGAATTACTTTAGTTATATGCTAGTGCAAACTAGATTCATTTTATATCTTTAGGTTAATAGCACAAATTTCCCTAGTTCGGTCATAATTAAGGGTTGGCATGGTATGGTAGATACCAAAACTGAGATTTTTGACACCACAGTTCCGATATTATGATATTTGGCATGCGTATTTAAAAAATTTGGTATTCGACAGTTATAACAAGAATACTCAGTGCAACTTTCTGAACATAACTTGGTGCAACCATTCCTGTACTAGCAACTTGCCCTTCATCAATCTGCATATAAATTAATAGATATTTTTTCTGGGAGGGTTTACTCAGAAACATGAATGTTTTGATGTTCCTGTATATTAATAGCACTGAAAATGATATTACTAGACTTATACTCGCTCTAGACCATATTAAGTGAATTGTTTAAGTATGGCACAACCCTTAAGAAAAATATTTAAGGACATAAATTAAAGACCATTTTCCACTATTACCTTTTTGATTATTTTCAAACTAGTCTCCTAGAAAATGTAAAGAAGTTAAGAATCTCATTAAATGAAGAGTAAATATGGAAAAGAGTTCCAACAATTTTCATGAACTTTGAATAATTCACTTACTTTGAACTATGAAAAAAGTCTAAATAATTCACTTAATATGGACTAGACGGAGTAATGTGACACATAAGGGAACTTACCACTATTCCTTTTTTAAGAATATCAGTATGGTCACCATTTTTTCTCATATTAAGAGTGCAATGACATTTGATTTCTAAGAAAAAGAAGAATGGCAAGAAAAACTCAAACCAAAATTGATGTACCTCCTCATTAGGTTGTGTTGAAAGCTCAAACAATGTTCTAATTGCCATCAGCTTTAGCAAATGCATAGGCTGTCATTTCTTTTGCAGGGATAAAAGGAAATTGTATCACAGCGATAGTGTAGCCGAATAAACCAAACAAAATATCACTTCTTATTTTTTGAGTGAAGCTCTGGTATCATGTCAAGGACAGAAGGATTCTCCCTTACAACATCTATCAAAAAACCAGTTGTAGTTGCATCAAATGAGAATCCCCTTCCATCCATTTCCTTCATAAAAGATGCCATTTCACTAATTTTGTTGCACCTGAGAAATCCTTGCACAATAACATTATAAGTGACATTGTTTGGAGAACAACCGTTGTCTTCCATTTTTCTTAGAATATATTTAGCTTCATCAAACAACCCTTCAAGACAAAATCCATTAATCATTATAGTGTATGTTCTCACATCCGGGAGTAATCCAATGAAAGAAAGCTTCTTGAAAACAGCATGCGCTTCGTTGAGTTTACCATTTTTGCACAATCCGTTAATGACAACCCTATAAAATGCAATATTAGTAGTATATTCTTTGTTTCTTTCTAACTTATTAACGAGTGCCATAGCTTCTTCAACAAGTCCGTACTTATAATAACCATTGAGCAAAGTGACATGAATGTATATATCAGGCTTGGTCCCTGCAGATAGCATCTCAGCGTAAATTTGCTTTGCATCACCAGTTCTTCCAACTTCAAAAAGACCTTGCAAGATCGTATTGTAGGTAAAATTATCGGGTTTTGATCCCTTTTGAGAAATTTCACAAAACAATTGCATGGCCTCATCCACTTTCTTTTTCTTACAGTATCCCTTTATTAGTATGTTATAGCTAATAATGTCGGTCTCAATGCCCTTATCTATCATGATACTAAAAATTCTCCTTGCTCTATCTAGTTGACCACGCAAACAATATCCATCCATCAATGCATTGTAGGTGATTGTATTAGGCTCTACACCCTTTTCGACCATGTGTTTCATTACTTCCTCAGCATCTTTGACTTTCCCTTCTTTGCATAGTCCATCTGTTATTATGTTGAAGGTATGCACATCTGGATAAATATTAAGGCTCACCATCTCATAGAACAAACTCGTAACCTTTTCCCACTGACCAAACTTACACAAACCATCAATTATTGAATTATATGTGACTATGTCTGGAGGAATGTCTTTCTGCTTCATCTCGTTCAGAATATTGATAGCAGCATCTAAGTTTCCATCTTTGCAAAGAGCATCTATAACAATGCTGTAGATATATATGGTGGGCTCAGTATTACCTTGTTCCATTAACCGGAGCAAACTTAAAGTCTTCTGAGTATGACCCCTTTTGCTTAGCCCATTCATGACGATTGCATACATGACTTCGTCAGGCTCACAAATCTTGTCTCTCACCAACTTCTTGAACAATTCAACTGCATCTTTGACCTTATTTTGAGCAAAGATTCCTTTTAATAGGGTGCTAAAGGTAACAGTATTAAATGGAATGCCATTCTTCAAGTAAATGGGTAACACCGAAAATGCACAATCAACCCGATACATCAGGCAATAACTATTAATCATGATATTTAAGATGAAATCACTAATTGGGATGCCCAATTTCAGCATTTGTCGAAAAAGAGAAAGGGCACCAGAGTAGTGTTTCATCTTTATCATAGTCTTAAACAATTTAGAGAAATCGACAACTGAAGGAAGAGGCCTCATTGTAACCATTTGATGGAAGAGAGTAACAGCATCATCTAAATTGCTACTATTTACACAAAATTTATCCATTAATGAAATGGATTTTTTACTGTAACGGCATGAAGAATAAGCTCTAATTGTAAATGCCGAACCAGAAATGGAAGAGATAAAGGGAATACCATTGCAATTGCGCAGAGAAACTCTCCTCATCTTCTTCAATGGCTGTATCTCCGTGTGCCCTAATTTTGCAAGAAACTAATACATTCAGCTTCTTTGGATTTTTTTTTGGTTTGCCATTCGCCCATTCCCATCCCTAATATTAGAGCAGGACTAAATTTAAATTCACCTCGAAATATCTTAGCAACCATCCAAAAAAAGGCAAGTGTCGTTACGCTGTTAATTTATTTTTTTCATTTTATTTTTGGATTATTATTTAATAATCTTATTGTATACTATTATTTTTTTTAAAAAAATTTATTGTGTACTCTATGTTTATTTATAGTGTTATAAATTTATTCTTTGTATTATTGATGTGTGATATTATGTAACAACATAATCGATACATTTCATTCAAATATTATATTAACTAAAACAATACAATATATAATAATCATCAAAACAATCTGCAATTAATACACTGTGAAAGGTTGTTTGTTTGCTTGCTCGTTAAGAAGTAAGTTATTTATGTATTAAAATTAACATTATAACTAATAACATGCTTAAGATTAGTATTTTAGTTGCTATGCATAAAATTAAATACGTTAATTGATTACCAATTTACAATCTCACAAATTATTATAAATGTATAAACTAGGTGAGATCTATTTACTCCCCCCTTGTCCCTATTTACTTGTCAGTTTTTGACTTGACACACCTATTAAGAAAATAATAATTGACATAGTGAGTTTACTATTTTATTCCTATTAATTGATAGAATTTCAAAATCAATTTACTCATTAAAGGGGTTGTACCTTTTTCAAAAACATTAACTCTCTAAATAAATTGAGCGTATAATAAGTTAAAAAAAATATTATCTTTTCTTAATTTGTCAAAAATGATAAGTAGAAAGGGACAAATAAAGAATCAAAATTGAACAAGTAAGAACGTTACATAGGAGAAAAATGAAATGAAGTATACTACATGAATAATTAAGTCTTCATCTAGGTGAATAACTCTAACTAGCAAAAAACAACCCCTTAAAGGGTAATTTGTTATGTATAAAATAACTCATACTTAAAATATACATTTTAACTATTTGGATTTGAACATGAGATCTTATTATTCTCAATCCACTTTATCGACCAATTATACCACACCCTTGATAAGTCATATTTTTGGAAAACACAACTTTTTTTTTAACCTAACAGAGAAGGCATGATTATAGATGTTGAAGGATATTCAGAAAATGTGTCTTATTTCATGAAACATGCATTTATCTCAGTTAGTTAGAACTCAACTTAAAATTAAATTCAAATGATTCTAAAGACTAACTTCATAAACTAAACTTAAGAAGGAAATATATGTGTTACTCAAATCTTAAAGTGTTTACAAGATTGAATATTTCATAGACAACTAAAAACATATTTGATAGTCAAAGATACGTAGTATCTATGTTGTTGGTGGGAGGTAGCATGTACTTGCTGAATAGTTGAAGGTAAACACTAGTGGGTCAGAACAGTACCGTCATTAAAAAAAATTAATGACAACTATGATAAAGCTAACACATGGAGATATGATCATGTAACAATTTCAACATTACATTTGCGTCCACGCAACCAAAGTTCTCATAACAGAAGCAACATTATTACACCCCAGACTAATAAGTGCATTAGAAAGATTAGTTACCATACCTAAAGAATTGGTAAGTGTGCATTTAAGTACAACGACAAAACAAATAAAGTCTCAATCCCAAATCCCTGAATTTTCACTAATCACATCACACAATAAAAGCACATGGATAATGTAAAACCCAAAATCTTGGGTTGTAAAACATAAACTTTATATTTATTGATAACCGTGGTGTCTAGGCCAACTACAAGTGACTAGTTGCACCAGTTGATAAGGATGCTCCAGAAACAATGTCAGCTTGATAAATATACTTCCTCTTTTCGAATAGGAATTGATTCGATCTTATTATTAGAATATTCAGATTCAACAGAAAATACTGTTTTCAAGAAGGAATCACCATCACCAGTGGAAGTTGAACCTGGCGATCTCTATCTCCTCAAGTATGGAAAAAGGAAGAAAAAGCAGCCAATCACAGGGAACGAAATAGAGAAGGTAAGGGACCACTTTCCTTGTTCAAGCTGGTATTTAATAAGTAGTAAGTAAGTGAGAAGTCGATTCTTTTATCGTTGAGAAAACAGATCACTTGCTAAGATGCTTTCAATTTTACTTGTGCTCATATATCAAAACCTAATCCTTGTTCAAACTACCTCATCTGTTCTCTAACTGTGAGTCCAAAGCTAAACTTGTAGTCTTCTTTTTTGATCGACCTGAACAAG